CAAAGCAAAGACTTATCGTAATTCTAATTCCCTTTCTTCTTTCCAGTTTCTCCCTCAAGATTTCCATAATTCTGTATATTTCTGGTGAATTCTAAAACTACCTGAGTGATTATTATCACTCGACATGTCACATAGATGGAGGAGCTTAAATGAGAAGGCTGAATGGAAGCATTAAATACTAGCACTTAGAATGTGACTCTGTAAAAGGTGCTCTAAGTGTACTGCCTTATTTTATCCTGATGATGGTCATATGGTCGTTTGATTCCTGTTTTATAAATGAGGAAGCTGAGATACAGGGAAGTAATTTGCCAAAGATAAAGTTAGGAACTGCAGAGCCCTGATTTCAACAAGTGCACTCTGACTCCAGACCCAGCCCTCCTGCACTAAACTCTATTTCCTCTCTGGATCAGGTCACATAAACAACTCGGAATAAAGGTAGATTTTACACAGATGATTAATTTTAATTCGCAGCTGTTTAAACTACTGTGTTCTTCTTTGTTCACTTCCGATTGATACTTTTTCTGGGTAGGGAAAGTTGAAAACAGCTAATACTAATCACAATTTTTTTTGAGGAACTCTGTGAATAGTAGGCAGCTTTGGAGAGCAGAGTGGTCACTTTGGACAGCTGTGCAGAAGGAGTGATGCTCAGGAGCTCGTTGAAGGAGGAAGAAGTTGCAGAAGGCAGAGACAGCATTGGCCTGGTGTCAGGGTACCTGGTTTCAGGTCCTGACTGTGTAGCGTATGAGTTGAGTGACCTCAGGTCTGTCTAAAGTGTCTAGTCCTCCATCATTAAATCACCCCCACCCCCAGGTCTGTAGGAAAAAAGAGGATTAGGCTAGACACTTGCAAGGACCCACCCAAATTTTAGAACCTATGAGCACTGGTTACGCATCTCCTATCCTAAGCTATTATTTTAAAAATATCTATAGTTATTAGTATTATTTTGAATGCAAATGTGAGAATAATGGAGCAGGGCAGATCGTTATTTAATTATAGTACATAACTATGTGGATTCCCCTTTGCTCTAGTTCTTACCTCTAGGGTAAAGGATGCATGGAAGTAAAACCAGATGTTCTCCTGCATATGTACTGGAGTTTGTATTATAGGCAAGGAATTCTGAAAGAAAAAGAAAATTGAACCTGGGCAATTACATGGGACAGTGGCAGCCATTGTGCTCACACTATTTTGCTCTTTGGGAAGGAGCCTGGGCTTTTACTCTTATGATTTGGAGTAAAAATAAGTTTTTTCCCAGGGTGAGATAAGACCAGCTTCTGCAGCTTTACAGCAAAGGTGCATCTCTATGGTCCCGGATCCCATCCCTCCCTTAGAATGTAAGCACACCCTCCAGTCCCCCAGGGGCTGTCTCACTGATAATCAGTCATTCATTGAGTTCCAGGATTCACTCCTTTTAGCCCAGGTCTCAAGTTCAGTAAAACAGAATCAGAAAGTATTAACTGCAGAAACACAAAAGTATTCTCTCTCTAGTCCCACACAGCAAGGGTATAGAATTAGAAAGGAGAATCTCCAAGGCTGTGAATCCAGGATTATTGGACCTTCTGTTTAAGAACAACTTCACATGTTTGTAGAAAAGCAGATTCCTGGATCTACACCACATGGACAGAACAAAGACCTCTAGAGCTGCAATTTCAAAATCCGGATTTCTGCCTCTTTCTCTAAATCGTTCACCATAGATATTTCCCTTTCATTCCTGGCTAAAGGATTCCTCAGTTTTTCCTGCTCCAGAGACAGTTCAGTTTATGCAGCTTTCACTGATTCAGTTTGAGATTTATAGGTCTTTTTGAACCTGTAAAGAAATGTAATAGTTTTGGTAAAAGAGTTTATGACAGTCATTTAAAAATAACAGTGATATTTGCAAAATTTCCCGGGTAATTATTCTTTTTTGATATCTGAAAAGATGATGATGATGATAAAAAAGACACTATCATTAGTAAACAGCTACTCATTAAGTATCTGAGACAGAATTTGAAGTAGATTAACTGTTGACAGATTTCTATTTTGCAAAATGCAATCAAAGATGTAAAAATGCATTCCTAAAATTTAAAAATGTGTTTTTTTTTTAAAAAAAACTGCATGCTAAAAATTATAGGCCAACCCCCAAACCGATGCTGAATATCATCATCTATTAGCAGAAATATACTTTAGACGAAAACTCCATTTCTAATTGGAATCAAAGAGCAAATTTTTAGGTAAACTTTTTAACTTTTTTTTAAATTAAGGTCAACTTCATACACTACACTTAACATGCAAATTTATTTTAGTGCACTAATTGTGTATGTATTCCTATGTCCTATGTCAACAGAAGGTGTTTCAATTTAAAAAAAACTTTTTTTTTTTTTAATTTTGCTTTGGTCTGTTGTCTTCCGTTCTGCTGCATTATTTAGTTAAGTATGCAAATATGTTTTTACTATTAATATCTGGGCTCTGTGCTAAATCCATTTGGGTTTTATAACTTAAAGGTTCTCATTTAGACCACTTAAACATAAATTTTAGTACTGGTAAATACTGAGAAGTATCGTATTATCTGATCAGACAGTGGAAGAAAAATGTATAGTCATTAGGAAAAATAAAAAAAAGGAAAATGTAATCTATCATTACCACCCAGCTAATCCATTCAAGTGGATTGGTTCACTGATTGTGTTAAGGCTCTCATAACCCAATCGTTTCACCTCTGAACTCTCTTGCATTGTCTCACACTTGAGTTTTGGGAGGATACCTTATATCTAAACCATAACAAAGGGTATGAAGAAGCTCTATAAGTTCTAAAGAGAAAGAATGCTAGGAAAAATCTTTAAGTGAAAAAGTAGGGTGTCGACTGTGTACATAATACACTATCATTTTTCCCTACCCCCAAAGTGGGGAAATTTACATGTAAGTACACATATAAGTATATAATGTATAAACAAATTTCTGGAAAGATAAACTAGAAAGTGGTAGCAGTGGTTATGTGTTGGTAGACTATGAGCTGGGTAAATGCAAAACACAGTGGTAAGGAAATTTCTTTTTAATGTACTTCTAAAATGTTGCCCCAATGTAAATATGCTATCTACTGAAACATCTAAAAAGGAAAAATGGCATGAGGGCATAGATGATAAACAGTTAATTCTCTCTTGGGCAATTGGGGTAAGTACTTGGGGGTGGATAATTTTTAAACTGAGATTTAAAGAGCGAGTGGAATTTGGCAAGAGGACAGGCTTGTTAAGGCCAACCCAGGACGAGGAAATAGATCATCCAGAGGCAGGACAGCATGAAAGTGGGCTTTGAAAATGTAATTGGGCCTTCAGTGCATGAGGGCAACATGGTGGAGGTGGATGGGGGATGACTCAGAAGAGGATTTCGAAAGCCCACCTGCAACTGTTTGAAAACAGTTCGTGTGTTATGCCAGGTGCTGTTAGTCCCACTCAGTAACCCTGCACTGACTGTGTATGCCATTCCTTGTACTATAGAGCAAGTCTCTACCCTCCAGGCTTGTGTTACTCCATCCCGACTGTACATTAGAATCCTTTGGAGAATATGTGAAAGGACTGAGCCAGGCCCCACCCCACATGATTAAATGAAAGTTTCTGATTGTAAGGACATGGCATTGTTTTTCTTTTTTAAAGGCTTATCAGATGATTCTAATAACATGCATCCAATTTTGAGAATGCTGCTCTTCTCCGCCATTCTCCATCTTCTCTCCCATCCTCTTTATTTTAATGAAAGGAATAACATGGGATATAAAATGGCTGTGGCATGGGGCTAGAGAAATCACTGAACTGGTAGCAGGAAAGGAGGTGATAGGCCTTTAGAAAGGGTGTTGACTTGAGGTCACTGAAAGATTTTGAATTTATAAAAGACTTAAGTGCCGAAATTCACTGATTAGGTATGGGGTGTTGTCTTGATGGACCAAGACAAACTGGGGCCTCTAGTGTGGTTGTCTCAGTGTTTGGTGATGCTGTTAATCAAGAGGGAAGTCAAATTAGGAAGTACTGATTGGGGTGAGTGCATATGCAGAGGTGATATAATGAATTCAGTTTGGAAGTATTGCCTTGAAGCTACCTGCAGGTGTAAGGTACCACTAAGAGGCATTTGAATCTAAGAACACAGAAAAAGACACCATTTCAAAATCTATACAGGCAAACTGCATCAGAAAATTTTTCAACAGAGCATATCCAAACCTTAATTAGAACTAGGACTCCAATTTATGAGGTAAGGTACTTACAAGAGGAGGTAAATGGTCTCTCCTGGAGAATCTGGACATGGAGCTGGACACCACGATGAAGTCTGTGGCCCAGGAAAGGACAAGGGGCATGTCAGAAAGGAAGTACAAGCAGACACCTAACTAGAATCTCACAAGAGCAGAGGACCTGGGCCCAGAGGGCAGGGTCTGCACTACTCCTAAAGGATCTTCTGTGTGTTTTATTAATATCTGATCATCTTAGGGCCATGATGATCACATCCAAATATTTAAAAGGAGTTCCTTTTTTGGAGAGGGCAACTACCTGCCTGTTCCCTAGCTGTGCTTCAGAGTACAGGGCAAACAACAGATATTGAAGATACAGCAGCATTTCTGTTAGTAGGAAAACAGGTAGAGTCAGTTTACCCTCCGGAGTCCACTGAATCTCAGATCCAGATCTCTGAGCCAGAGAGAGCCGCTGTCAGAGGTCAGGAGTCACTACAGACCCTGGGTCCTACAGGTGGGGAACAGAGGGTCTCAACAGAAGGAAGACAAGGGATGCAGAGGCTGGACAGAGGGAGAGTTTCACACAGATACCCCAAAGTTACTCACAAGACATTTAACCTTCAATGTTTGAACAAACCATCTGATTGTTTTATAATAGTCATTACTAATCAGGACAGCGTTGCAGTACATCTAAAGTGTTACAGGTGGGGTGTGTATCTTGACACGTCTTTCACGAATAGAAATACTGAATTACTATAATAAGCCAATTGAAAGTTATTTTTACTTAAATCTGTCTTATTGATTTTTTTCCCCATAAAAGCTTAGATTTATACCAGCGAGTAGGATTGCTGAGTTCACTCCCACCTGCCTTACTTCAACACTTAAGGTGAGTACTTAAAGTAGGTGAGAGCCACTTTTTGTCATATTTTCCTTGTGAAAGATGAGTCTTATCAAGGGCCAAATGTTATGGTTTATGAGATTCAGAGAGTGAAGCACTTAGATTTAATGCCATTGTTTGTTTTTTTTTAAAGAGTGATATCTGTTTATTAGGGGAAACTTACAAAATAAAACATAAACAAAATTTAAGTCACCAATAATTTTACTGCCTGACATGATGACCATTTTAAATATTTTAATGCATTTCTTTTCAAGAATGTGTGTGTACGTGTGCATGCGCGCGGGGGGGGGAGAGAGAGAGAGAGAGAGAGAGAGAGAGAGAGAGAGAGAGAGAGACGGGGGTGGTAGGAGGAGGAGAAAGAGATTCAGTCCATGGATGTACATTTGTTTAGAAATTTGTTGTATATATTGTATGTACAATTCCTGCGTTCTTTCTTGTATTTGCTAAATGTCATATAGTATCATATTTCTCAAATGTCTATTATCTAAAATTTAAAATTCAGAGAACATTTTGAACCTCAGAGCTTCTTTAAGAAAAAACATTTATAAAGTCTTAGAGCCTCTTAGTTTTATCAGCCACACACACACACAAATATACAAAAAACTCTTTTCAATTTTAATTATTAATATTTCTAAATAGGCAGGTGATGAGATTGAGAAGCCCCAGCCAACCTTTAAATAGATAGATAGATAGATGCGAATATTTATGTCTTTGGTTTCTTCACTATTCAAGTTAAAAATTGGAAACTTGTTGCGGAGTGTCTTTTTTTTTCTGTTTTCTTTATTTGCTTCTTCTGCTTCTGTATCAAGGAGTCAGGAACTGATAGAGTGTTTTAATACAAACTCACAATACAATTCCTTTTATAGGAATTTTCTTAAAATCACTACATAGCTAAATTGCACAACCAGGCTCAGAATCTACTGACTTTACTTATACTAAATTATCATCATAGACTGAGAGTTAGATCAGGAACAGGATTTTCCTGAAGTGGAGAACAGGAAAAATCATTTGCCAGTGACTGGCCATGAGAAATAAGTTCCTAATGTGTTGGCAAAATATTAATAAAAAACCTACAATAATAATATAACCTCATGCCTTAAGATTTTACCTAAATATAAAGAAAGTAGTATATACAGCTGTAATGCGACTTTACCAAGTGTGGGTGGTTTATATGAAGGAAAACGAGAGCTGAACACTTACTTGAGCCCTCCCACTGTTGAGGAGAGGGTGCACTGAGCAGTCGTGGGTCATGACACACTTAGAAACTCTACAGTGTCCCTCGTGCTTCACTCTTTAGTCTTCTACTCGTTACTTTGGGCTTCTTATAGGAGAGAACCAACCCTCAGGAGCAGGCACATATAGACTAGTTCTCTCAGCAAGTGTGTCCTCCATTAGTTGAAGCCACAGCCAGGAAGGTGCAAGAAGCAGGTTGTGAGATGGAATAGGGATGGGGACCATCTTGCACGCACCAGGCAGCCAACAGCAAGTAAATCTTTGCGGGAGAAAGTCAGAATGTAGTACGCCCTCCATCTGAGGTCTTCTGCAGCCTCCGAATCGGACCTCTTGGCTCAGCCCTGCTCTGCAGCTATTTCTGAGTCAAATTCCTAATGAGTCATTACAGCAGTGTACACCTGCTAAAGTTGACTGAGCCTTTGATTTTTAAATGCTTTGTTAGCCACAAGCAATATCACCTACTGTAATATTAGGGAAATGGCAATTGATTATGAAGAAGCTGGCTACCAAAAAAAAAAAAAAACATGCTTTTTGTTCTTCAAGGAAAATACCAAGACTCAGAAAATCAGACCTTCAGGTGTTGATTTGAAGCATGAATCTCTTTCACCCATTGAGCTTTCAGTCGGACAAAGAAGCCAAAAAAGAAACACAGAACAAACAGACTGTGATGTGGAGTATGTTTCGGATTATAAAACTATGAAAAGGTCTGTGCCAAAGAAGATGAAACCCCTACTGCAGAGACATACGGTGCCAGAAAACATCCAACTAGCTGAGCCATCTCAGGTGTTTTTTTTTCTTTTTTTCTTATTCATAAAATGGATAACAATTCACTTGTTCTGGAAATAGCATTAGCTAAAGGTTTTTGCTTCATTTTCACATTTTTTTTTTAACGCACTCTAATTATAGGATGTACATTGCAATCTGCGATTTCTGGACAGGGTCCCAATTTCTTTTTTTTTTTTTTTTCCCTCCTGTATTCTCTGTTTTGGGAGAAAAGTCAGGTTGTTAATATCAGCACAATGTCTGGAGAACTCAGCCAAGTGGAGGCCCCCAAAGAATGCCTGGGTGGGCAAAGGATTGTAGATCTCTATTTAAGAAAGAAATATTCATATAGAACAAACCTTAAGTTTTAGGATTTTGCATTCAAAACATTATAGAAAAAATGCTTAGCTAAAACATATAGGTTAAAAAAAAGAAATAAAACATATAGGTTGTTAATCCTGTAGTCTAGGTTCTAGGAAATGCAGTATTACCAGGTACAATAGCATGGGCCTATAATCCCAGCAACTTGAAGAATTTAGGAAGGAGGATTACAGGTTTGAGGCCAACCTGGGCAATCCAGAGAGACTCTGTATCAAAAACTTTTTAAAGAGCTGGAATGTAGCTCTGTGGTTGAATGCCCCTGGGTTCAATCTGAAAGGAAGGAAGGTAGGAAGGAAGGGAGGGAGGGAGGGAGGAAGGGAGGGAGGGAAGGAAGAGAGGAAAGGAGGGAGGGGGAAGGGAGGGAGGGAGAGAGGGTTATAAGGTCAATTTACAACTGTGTTGCTACTGATTTTAACAATTGTACCTCCCCAGAATTCCTCTGTTTTTACATGAGCTTGTTTCTTTTAGAATAATCACAATACATTCATTCTTACAATGTTACTATTATTTAATTCACTTTTGAGAATTTCCCCTAAGATTCTGCTTATAATAATAATAATGCCTACAATCAAATAGGCATTTACCCTGTGATCTTTCAGTGCTGAAAGATTATAAACATTATTTTACTAATTTTCATTTTGTATCTTTCATAAGCCAAAATTTATTGTCTAGGTTATCTACCTTGTTTATCAATTTTGGCTTCTGATGCCTTTTAACTGTTTCCAGAATTTAAATTCACCCATAAAGGGTGGCTATGGGCCACCAGGGCAGATACATGAATTGCCATAGGTTCTCACAAATTGCCGTAGGCTCTCTGAAAACAGTGTAGATTTATCTGATAAGAAAATATCTACTGAGCTTCTGCCCTGGGTAGACACAGCATTAGGCATGGTGGGAGACAAGATATTTTGGGCATGGTTCTTTCAAAAGGAATTATTTTTGAACAATAGTTACTTTAATATCTCACACATTCCTTTGTACTGTCTTTTGGCAAATAGTGTGCAGACTCTTTTTGAAAATCTTTAGTGAAAATCTTTACCCCCTGAAGAAGTCTTTTCTTATTCTCTTTTTGAGTAGCTCATCCTCTTAAAATATTTGAAATCCATTTCCCTGTAATTTGGAATTTTTGGTCCTTCATCTTTCTTGAAACTATAGGAGCCAAGCTGAACTTGTTTATCTGTAGAATTTTATTTTTTCTGTGACTCTGAATTATCTGTCATATTTGAATATGTGGGTTCATACAGTCAGTAGGTATTTATTTACTCAGTCCTTGCTGTGTTCAAAGTACTACATGTTTATAATAGAAAAGGTGGTTTAATCGTATCTCCTTTAACCTTGAATTCCAGAAAAACTCATTAGCTGTGTATTTAAAGATCTTGGTATTTGGGAGCTTATTTTGTACACATATTGTATGTTTTAAAAACACATAATAGATTGAGAAGTAGAGAGTTTGCCCAAGTATTAAAACAACACACTTTGGACTTTAGATAGAGAGATTAACTTAGTCTAGATGTATGTATACACATACACATATGTAAAACTACACAAAGTAAATACATTTCCACGGTGTATATACATGTATATTTATATACATATTTTGTGTACCTTTATGTATTTATTTATACACACATGTGATCTTATTATGTTCTACTCAGTGTATCACCTTGGAAGAGGGTTCAACTGTAAACAAAGCCACATATAGTTCTGACCCTCATCAAACACAGTCTGATGATAAAGACAAATAATTCCGTAATTATTTGAATTACAAATGTAAATTGCAACTGTGGCAGCAGAATCCCGCACCCTCCCCTCTCTTGCCTCCCCCAAGATAAAGTCCCAGCCTGGCCTCAAACTGCTGGGCTCAAGTGATCCTCTTACCTCAGGTAGCTGGGACTAGAGGCATGTGCCACCATACCTATTTGTGGCAGTTTTTAGGACACCATAGCACACGTGCTAATAATGGGGGATTCAACTGTATCTGACAGGAGAGTGATAGCTTCCCAGAAAAAAAAAAAAAATTGATTCCTAAGATTTTAGGATTGAATTCCAATTAAATTGGTATCAAAAGAGGAAGAACATTTCCAAACAATGCAAACAGCATTTGTTAAAGAGGGACACCATGATGAATACCAAGTGTTAAGATAGGCAGTGGCAGGACAGAGAGATGGAAAGGGGCTGTGGTAGGAGATGTTTAGGGAATAACTGAAACCATACAAGTCCTGTGGGCCTTGAGAAAGAGGATTTGCATGGATTCCCATAGCAGTGGGAGACCATGGGGGAGCTTCATGCAGGGGAGTGGTTTTTTGACCATATTTTCCTTTAGAAAAGTTTGCTTTGGCTTAGTTAGGAAGGAAGGTTATTAGAGAGCAGAGGTGTTGAGAAAAGCACTCACATGCCATGCAGTCTTTTGACCCCTGCTTGGCCACCTAATAATAGACCTTAAGCCTGGGGCACTTCCTTACCAAGAGATAAAGAGCCCACACAGTGTGCTTTAGTCTTATCTCCTTGTGTGGGAATATCCTTCTCTGTTGCAAGCCCAATGTATGCTCTGTGTTTAAGTGTTTGTTTCACAAGATCGACCCCACTGCTATATTTATCTTTCTTGGGGAGGAGAAGGGGCTACTGCAGCAAGAAAGGAATTTGTGTAGGCAATTTCCCTGTCTTGGCTACCAGGGTTCCTACTGGCACAGGGGAATGATGCCCACTACTGAAGCTAATTTTGTTCTCTCCTTTCTCTGTAAGTAAGACATTTTTTTTTCCATCCAGAACTTGACTGCATTGTTTCCTTTGGAAATTCCAAAATGGAAAGTATTTACAGTACTCGCAAGAGATTGACAACCAGTGCATGGTATTCTGCTTAAAATTTATGCTTAATAAGAGTCATTAGGGCAGAGCAGCTAGGAGGCCTTAATAGAGAAATAACAGTAGCCCAGCCTAGGATGATGGTTGTTATGCTTTGTATTTGAAATGTCCCCCGAAAAGCTCGTGGGTGAGACAATGCAAGAAGGTATAGAGGACAAGTGACTGGATTATAAGAGCCTTAATCCAATTGGTGAATTAATACCCTGATGGGGATTAACCGAGTGGTAACCAAAGGCAGGTAGGTTGTGACTAGAAGAGGTGGTCCCTGGTTGGTGTGCCCTTGATGTATATAAATTTGTGTCTGGTGAGCCTCTCTCTGCTTCCTGATCATTATGTGAGCTCCTTCCCTCTATCAATTTCTTCCACCATGATGTCCTGCCTCATTTGGGGCTCTGAGGAATGGAGCCAGCTGTCTATGGACTGAGACCTCTGAAACTATGAGCCCTCAGATGAACTTTTCCTCCTCTACAATTGTTCTGATCAGATCTTTTAGTCACAGCCCTGAAAGAGCTGACTAAAACAATGGTGGTGGGTGTGGTTACACTGCCCCCCATCTTGGTGATGCATTGGGTATAGAAGGTGAAGCAGAGGAATACGGCAGAAACGATCACAGATTTTTTTTTTTTTAGCTCTTTGACCTGCTTGGGTAGTAATTACATCCATCAAAATAGGGATCCTTGAAGGCTTGTAGCTGGGAGCATGAATTCAGCTTACACAGTTTGAGACATCACATATTTGAATTTGGATGTCAGAGCTGAGGTTTTATTAGAAGGCCTGAACTTATAAGGTACTCAGATACACAAGTATCTGCGTGTGAGCAGGGTTGAAGGGGAAGAAGAAAGAAGGACTAGTCAGAAACTTGGGGACTGGGGGACAGTTGTGCACAGATGGTTTTGGGGAAATCACCTGAGCAGTAAAGGAATTAGGAATTTGTTATATCATTGAAGCCAAGAGGGGAAAATAGTTCAAGGAGAGGCGGTCCAATGGGCTTACTCCTTTAGAGAACCAACTCAGCTGGCCAAAGACCTAAAAAGGGTTGTTTGGCTTAATGACTTAGAAGCAATAAGAATGATTTCAGGAAAAAAATTGTTGTTGATTAGAAACCAGATTAGAGAGCATTGATTAGTAAATGGGAGATGAAGAAACCATTTGCATATCAATTCTTGGTAAGGTAAGCTGACATCACTTCAGAAGACCGTCTATACTTATGAAAATCAAGCAGTGAGGTGGACAAATAAGGAGGCCATGAAATTCTTTATAAGTACTTACGCTGATTTTATCAGGTTAAACTGCAATTGAAGCCATTTTGGATTACTTGAGGATTACTTGCTCATCTCCTGTCCAATAAACACACTAGGTATTTCCCCTAACAGACAGAGGAGGTGCAGGAAACGAAACTTGATTCCTGTATGAGTCTAAGCAGCATGGCATTAGGAAGACATATGTGCTCCAAGTCAATCTTGCCAAGTGCTTCAAAAGTTTGATAAAAATGATTCTGGAATTAGTTAATATTTTGGCTTTTATGTATTACAGTTCAGGTCTATTAAGAGGAGTCATTCATGTGCATGGGCAAAAATGTAACAAGGAATCCTGCAATTATGTATAATTATAATGCACCAGTAAAAATACAGAAAAAAAGGACAAGTCATTAATTAGCTTATTGTTCTTCCTGGAGGATTGTTTTTATCACACCCTTGCTTTTCTCAGAAGGTTCCACTTTATTTATCTGAAATGACTTTCTCCCTATTTCATGAAAATAGAACTTTCAATAAAAATAATATGCTTATTGTTCCCTATATCTGCACCTTGTAATTCCTCTGAATTTTTCCCCAAGGCTGTTTGTAAGTTCCCTTCACTCAACAAACATATTAATCATTTTCTCTGAACCAGGTGCTGAAGACTCAGATATTAATCAGACACATCCCCCCACCCCACCCCAAGAAGCCGAGAGTCAACCTCTAGCCATTCTAATTAAGGGAGACCTTTTCCTGCATCATAAGTTTCCAACCTTTTCAAGTATGAAAATACTTTTTCAGTGTCACAAAATGACTACAGACATTCCACGTGATAGTAACCATTGATTAATAGCTATCTAGTCAGAGAAAGCTATCGTAGATACTTTTAAATAAATGCTTAGCTCATTTGTCTTAGCAACATCTACCCAAGTTTGAAAAACAATGTACATCCACACAAGATGTTATTCAGTGTATGATGGTAATTCATGCAGGCCTTGGCAAAATACTGTAGTAACTTTGATTCACTTTTGAACTCTGTGGTCTGTGTGACTCATATTTACCTGATTTGCCTTGTGACATTCTTTTTTTATTGTGTATTGTTAGTGAACTTTACATGTGTTTTTCTAAATTATAGACATTTTAAGTACAAAGATCAGAAATCGAGTCTCTGTTGTATATCCGAGGGATGTCATGAATCATGAGTGAAGGTGGCTTAATGGGTGTCGTTGCTTGATCCTAATCTTTGTACTTTTTCTGTCAATACTTTGCAATAGGCCTCTTCCAGGGAAATGAAAAGGAAACAGAGTCTCAACCTCACACAGGAATGTAAGGTGTTGAGTGAAATTCAAACCAGCGACAGTGATCCAGATATAATCCTGGTGAGATAAAATTTAGTGACTAAATGACACCTTGAAATTTTTTTTACATTCATAAAGATGAGCAGGATCATTAGTGCCTCAAAGTCACCAAAACCTTTAGTTGAATGACCTAATTTTTAGATGAAGAAGTAAAACTCAGAAGAGTTGTTTGTCACTTTCCCGAGGCTGTGTATCTAATCGAGATAACTGGAACTTAGGCCTCCTGACCCCCTTGTCCCTGACCTCCTTTCTTTTCAATTATCATAGTGAGATAGGTTTTTAAAAATTTGTTCTTTTTAGTCACACATGACAGTAGAAACTATTTTGACATATTTATACAACCACGGAGTATATTCTATTCTAACTGGGGTCTCAGTTTTGTGGATGTACACAATGTTGATTCACTGTGGTATATTCATATATATCCGTAGGAAAGTTATGTCAGATTCATTCCACTGTCTTTACTATTCCTGTTTCCCCTCTCTTCCTTTCATTCCCCTTTTTCTAGTAGTCCAATTAACTTCTATTCCCCTCACCTTGTTATGGATTAGCATCCACATAAGGGAACATTCAATCTTTGGTTTTGGAGGCTTGGTTTATTTCACTTAGCTTGAGTATCTCTGGATCCATTCATTTACTGGCAAATGTCATAAAGTCATTCTTCTTTATGGCTGAGTAGTATTCCATTGTGTATATACCACATTTCTTTATACCACAATTTCTTTATCCATATTTCTGTTGAAGGACACCTAGGTTGGTTCTATTACTTAGCTATTGTGAATTGAGCTGCTGTGAACATTAATGTGGTTCTGTCACTGTAGTATGCTGATTTTAATTCCTTTGGCTACATACTGAGGAGTGATATAACTGGGTCATATGGTGGTTCTAATCCTAGTTTTTTGAGGAATCTCCATACTGCTTTCCAGAGTGATTGCACCAATTTACAGTCCCATCAGTAATCTATGTGTACCCTTTCCCCCACATCCTTACCAACATTTATTGTTATTTGCATTGGATATTGATAATTGCCCTTCTGATTGGAGTGAGGTAAAATATCAGTGCAGTTTTAATTTGCATTTCTCTAATTGCTAGACATGCAGATGGTCAACAAATGTATGAAAAATGTTAAACATCTCTAGCAATTAGAGTTTTAATATACATTTGAATTATAAAATTATATAGATGTATATAACTTGAAGGTTATCTCAAAACTTCATACCCTCAAATCCAAACCATACCTTTCTGTAATTCCAGCAAGTATAATTCTAAATTGATTTAAATTAGACCACTACCAAAAGTCCTGATGAGAGAAGTCCATTCAAGAAACATGGGCATGCTTTCCATTTGCTCCTCTAAAGAGTGTGTCCAGATTCTACCCTGATGGTTGATATCAAAGAGCCACATGTCCTGCCTAGTGTAGAGGTGCTGTGGCTTCACTGAGCCGAGGGTGTATAGGGAAAATCCATTCAAGGGCTGACCATATGAGAAGCACTCCACGTGAAGCATGTGTAAGGTATTGTCTGTTGTTACATAGTACCATATGTGTGATGATAAAAACACTAACATGTCTTTACACATTAGGATTTAATGCCAGGAAAGATCTATTTGGTATATTATTTTGTTGGAGCATAAATTTTATTGCTGTATCTTTCTCTTTACCTCAATTGCTAAGAAGCTTACAGCTAAACTTTAACCTAGTGAAAATAGCTACAGTAGCCTAGATGGTTGCTATTTTTGACATAAGTCAAGAGTATTTATGAAAGAGCCTGACATCATTGTGCATGTCTTCAGGTAAGGTACCTCAAGATACTATTTAGAATTATGGATTAGGTTTCACTTACACTTGAGCCAATTAGGAACATATTATTGAACATATTATTTCTTCTGACTAGCCTAATTTCACCAACATCATTGTCACAGGGTACATGATATGACTCTCATGAACATCTTAGTTTTAGAATTTTCCATTGTAGAAAATTATAGACAGCTCTGTTAACTCCTCGTGTTCCCATTCTCCAGGTTCCAACAGTGTTAGGCCCATATTAGTCTCATTTATCCATATTCCCTCCCTGTCCCCATTGCTCCCAAGCACTACATCATGTCATCTGAAAATTGTGATTGTCTTAAGAAGCCACTGGAAGGGATTTTGGAAAGGACTAGAAGTGATATTAACAATAAGAAAAACTATACACAGGATGGTTAGAAAGTAAACACCAAGTATTGCAAAAGGAAAAGAGTCAAGTCTTAATCAGAGGCTAGAGAAGAGGACAACACTGCCACTAGTATTGTAAAAAAGGCCACCGCTTTGAAACAAAGATGTAGTGATACCTGTGAACATTACCAGTCATCCCTTGCATTACAGAATGTTTCAAGTCTTTGAGTATTTTTCATGTTGCCATTACTTTGTCATCCTCTAACCTTTGCACAGAGATTTCAGCAAGTGCTTTTTCATGAATGAGCTGTGACATGTATATTAAAAATATTGTTGTCTTTTTATGTAGCATTTCTGAAGTTCTTAGGTTACTTGTGGGTATGTGTGTGGTATATGATTTATTTATGTCTCTGTGATCTTAGCAGGAAGTCTTGCTTTCAAAATCATGACATCTAATTAATTTGGATAAACATGCATTATCCAGATGTGCATTGATTTCTCTGTAGGTAGAATAATTCAACTAGGAAATAATTACTTTGGAAAGCTTATCTGTCTATTAATGGGGGCTATGTCCATTGTCTTATTGAGGGGTCTTCCTCCTGCCCAGAGGATGTAAGCCACCCTAAAACTTAAAGTCTCAGATAATTAGTGAAGAACAAAACACAAATAGAAATGTATTTACAAAAGTGAAGCTCTTGATAAATGTAGTCCACGTGGGTGCTGGAACTAGACAAAGGAAAGGTGGCTCAAAGGTTTATTTAAAGGGGTGCATCAAAGTCAGGGATAAGGTTTCAAGGGTGGAGTCTCACTTTGTGATGTCTTATAGTCAGCAGGTTGATTGAAATCTTGGCAGGTCACACCCATCTCAGCTGCTGTGTGGGATTTTGGGCAGAGCTTGAGCAGGAAGTTCACCTGCATCAGGTGGGCAATCCCTGTGGGGCGGGGGGAGGATGCTACAGGAAGTTCCCAATGCCAGATTTATTTTTTTCCCAATGCCAGATTTATCCCCTCACTAAGCTATGATGAGCAACATAGTCCACACCCAACCCATGGATGGCTTGTGACAGTTTATACTTTCTTAAACTCAGAAATTTAAAGAGAAAGAGAGAGAGAGAGAAAGTCCTTGGAGTGCATGGAGGGGTGTTCTACTTGCTGCCTGTTAAATTTGAAGAAGGAAGGCACTCAGTGCTAACAGGAGGTTGCCACTTAGGAAGAAAAGTTATCTATAGCACAGAAGACACTCCTCCTACCCTCCAAAGCAATATTTATTATTTTGGTGAATTTACTGGGTTGGAATCCATGTTTTTATTTTTAGGTTTAATAGCCTCAGAAATAAGATGTATTCAGCATACCAAAGAAAGTCCAATTCACAGGGATGATTTTGCATTATCCCAACTCATGATGTATGATAGCATAATGACAGTTTAGCCATTTAAAAGATAAATACAGTCTTCATTCAACTGGGCAGCACATATTGATTTAAGCTATACATTCTTTCCTTTATGCCAACCTTCATGGGCTGCCCAGTTACTCTCTGATGGTATTTGAATACTTAAAAGGCTTCCATCTAAAATAGCCTGTTATGTACCTTTCCAAAAGGGATGAGAGTGATGATGTTACCAAAGCAACTGTAGCCAACAGGGCACTGTCTCAGGGCGCCCTTTTCCCACACCTGCCTGTGCCCCAGTATT